ATATATATATATATATATATATGATTGAACCCTTTTTCTGTTGGGTGCATGAGTGAAAGGATGCAGCAGGTTTACTTGAAGTTGTCAGGATGTTGGCTGAGGGCCAGGCTGAGCGTGTCCATGGCGTGACGGTGATGCTTCTGTGCACTCAGCAACAGGCTCAGCAGGTGCAGAGAATGTAAATCATCGGCCCGCACTGATAGAGCTGCCTGAAGAGGCTCCATTGCTGCTGAGACCTGCAAGATACAAACCGATGTTGGCTTCAGATTTAAAAAGAGTTTTCACTAAGAAGAGAGCTGATCTGTATCCTACCTGACGAACCAGAGCCAGCTGCAGAGCCAGGTACATGGAGATCTGAGCATCATCAGGGTCTAATGAGTGAGCTCTAAAACCAACATTATTGACTTCAATGTTCACTTTTTATTCAAACATCTTGTTTCATAGAGTCTACAGGTGGTTGTGTCACCTGTCACAGCTTTACTGATGATGATAACTCTGCATGTGTGGAACAACTAAAAAGATATTTTATAAAAACATCATTTACTTGCTCAAAGCTGTCACAGCTTTCTTGTTGAGTTCGTCGCGATCTGCTTTCAGAGAAGCTGCAGAAACAAGAAGATAACATTCAGTTCAACCCACGTCAGGTCCATATCACTAAACCTGACTGAGATGGAGCTGTTTGTGTTTAAAGTTGATTCTCTTTAACAGATGTTTATTCACTGATGGTCCACTGGTTCATGAGAAGTTTTACTAACAGACAGATAAGTAAACACACACACAGACAGGCACTTCATTATCACCTGATTGTTTACAACCTGGTCCTGTTTACAGGACGCAGGGGATCAGGAAGATGTTAAAGCAACAGTCAGAGCATCAAAGGACATTAACATGTAACATATAACATGTAACATGTTACATGTAACATGTTACATGTAACATGTTATATGTTACATGTTAAGTTACATGTTACATGTAACTTAACATATAACATAAAACATATATAACATATAACATGTAACATGTTATATGTTAAGTTACATGTAACATATAACATGTAACATGTTACATGTTATATGTTACATGTTACATGTTAAGTTACATGTAACATGTTATATGTTACATGTTAAGTTACATTAACATGTTATATGTTACATGTTATATGTTACATGTTATATGTTACATATAACATGCTATAAGTAAACATGTTAAATGGTACAATACATAATGTTATGTTATATGTAACATATAAAATGCCATGAGTAAACATAGTTGTATGTTATATGTAGCATGCTACATGTTATGTTATATGTTACATGTTAAGTTACATGTAACATGTTATATGTAACATATCCCTCGCCCGGACGCGGGTCACCGGGGCCCCCCTCTGG